GCTATTAACCTCCAGTGTTGAATTATTTTCAAGTGTAAAAATACCATGTATATTGCATACAGATCTTGGAATATAACATGACAAATTTGATTCATGTCAAACAATGGGCAAGACTCATTTCTATCCACGTTTTGTATCTATATATGTGATATTGAAGGCCTAGTATGTGGCCAAGGGCAAGTCAGTTGAGAAAAAATGTCTTACATTGTCACACTGATTAATTCAAAAACACCAGTTACCTACTATATTCTTCTAAGCATTGTGTGAAGATATAGCAATGAAAGAGACACAGTCTTCGCCCTCAAATTCTTTATAGTTTAGAATCTAGGGGTATTCTAGATGAGTCAATTATATGTTACATGTCTTATGACCCAAGTTAACATTGATTGGTGGTGCTAGGAATATCTATAACAGTGGTTCTCAACCTTGGCTGCACATTAGAATCACCTGGGAATCTTTTTAAAATCCTGATTTCTGGGCCTCATCCTCCAGAAATTCTGTTTCTTTGTTGTGGGGTGGGGCTACATTAGTAACAAAGAAACAGAATTTCTGGAGGATGAGGCCCAGAAATCAGGATTTTAAAAAGATTCCCAGGTGATTCTAATGTGCAGCCAAGGTTGAGAACCACTGGTCTATAAGAAGCTCCTGGGATACAAAGAGAGTACTAGTGGTCATGCTGACCAAAAGCTACGAGTATGTAGAGTTTGGAGAAGGGGATCCACAAGCAGATTCTTAAAGTACAAATCAGGGCTAGGAAGATGGGAGACAGTGGTTCCAGGTAGAGGGAAGTGCACCTGCAGAGAGGGCCATGAAAGAGGATGACGTCATTGCCAGCCATTAGTGTAGCCAAAGGTCCTGTTACTTATGGAAGGTGCTGAGGGTGGTGCAGGAGTGCTGGGCAGAGGCTGCCTCATTCAGAGGCAAGATAATCTCTGTGAATTTAAACAAATATTATGGAAAGCTGACATACTTATGATCTAAAGAAAGAGACAGTGGTAGACGCACAGTCAGCAATGAATGAAGAAATGAATGGAAACTAAGAAAAGGAACATTGTGCTTCTTTTAAATCCTTAAAGCTGATCTCACAGACTTTAAGTCTATGAGTCATGCAGTGCTGTAAAACCGTTCACTAAGTCTTCTCCTCAAACCCCAAAGTCCTTATTTTAAAAACTTGAGGTTATCAGGCATTTCTTGCACTAAGTTTAATCTTATTTCATGTATTTTTTTACTTTATTTTTTTATTGATTTCAGAGGAAGAGGAAGGGAGAAAGAGAAACATTGAATTGTTGCTCCATTTATTTACCCATTCATTGGTTTATTCATTGGTATGTGCCCTGACCAGGGATCAAACCCCCAACCTTGGTGTATCAAGATGATGCTCTAACCAACTGAGCTACCCAGACAGGATTTATTTAATGTATTTTTAATTAATCCAGCATTCATATTGAGCAGAATTGGAAATTTGCCATCCGAGTCATTTCTTTATGTCTTTCTCAGAACAGTTCTCCTTGTGGAGAGGATTGGAATAGTCTGAATAAGTGTGTGACATGAAATTTTAGAAGAAATGTTTTGAAATGTTTTAACCATTGAAGTTATACATATTAATCATTTGCAATGGTGTGAATCTGACATAAATTCAAAGCCTGGCAGTGTTCTAAGTGATAATATCATGTTATAATTAAGTGTAAGGATTTTCTATATAAGTACATGATAATATCATGTTGTTAAGTCTAATATTTATGCCTGAGTTGCCAAGAAAGAAATCTTGATTATTCTAATAGTATCTAATATGGTCCCTAATTACCTACCTCTTCTTGACTATTCTCAACTGAGTATGTCTGAATATAACACCAATGTTAGCATAAGATATTATTTTTCCATTCTGAGCTATTTTTCAGGCAGGTTTATTATTTCATAAGCAAAAAAAAAAAGAGAGAGAGAGTTAATTTACCACTGGATCCCAAATTCTAAAATACCAACTCCTAAAAAGATATTTACTTCTAATTAGGCCCTTCAATATGGGATTACAACTTCTGACCCAGTGTAATGTGCATAGCATATAATAAATATTGACTAAATAATAATTATAGCACAATATTTGACAGTGTTTTGCAAAGAGTCAAATGAGGATGGAAGAAATTTGTGTATTTAAAATTGTATTAATTAAAGGTAAGCAACTAAAAAGGAGTCAGTTTCCCTAAATGTTTTAGTGAATGCTTTTATTTTTTCAAAGTCACTTACTGCTTCCAACTTTGAAAATGAGAAGAGCTACAGGAAGAACAGTCTTCCAAACCTGTGCCAGAACTGAGATTTCCTTGTGGGCCCCAGCCATGAAGGTGCCCCCAGGGGCCTGTGTTTATATATGAGCTCTTGCACTCCTCTTTGTAGTTGCTCTACCAAAGGACAACCATGTGCCCAGCAGTTTTGTTTTAGTCACTCATGAGTAGAAATAACTTAAAGATTTCATTCAAGCATGGTCACGTTTTCTAAGTCTAGTGATTGAGGACACTGTTGAAATAGAAAGGGTGGAAGACTATAACTTTTTCAGCCATGTTTCAGATTTCCCATGTCTTAAAACATTGGTGTAAAATGCGAATGAATGCAAGTCAAGAACTGAGCACATAGTAAGCGCTCAACAAATATTTCATATGCACCAGGCAATTAAGGCCACCAACTCTTAAATGCATCAGATCTTTATGTAAATCACACTTTGTTAAGAAGAGACTGTCTCACAATTAAATATTGAATAGGCACTGATTTTCAACCCGTGTGTAATACCTGACTATTTAGTCAGTGGCACTGATCTTTTTTCCCTTAGATTGTAAAAAAAAAAAAAAAAAAAAAGACAACAGCCAACACATCCAATACCCATCCAGTATGAATGAATCAGTGTATGGCAGAATTTTAGTTTATGTGTGCCAGGAGATGAAAAAGGTTGAAAATCACTGTAATAGGGTATGAACTCTTTTGCCTCCCTTCTTTTGTATCGCCCACACCCATGCCAGGGAAGTGCATTCCCTGTTTTAGGCAACTACTTAATGAGGAATGCTCTAGACAGAGCCGCAAGGTCATGAATGGGTTAGAATCCAAAGCTTACATCTAAGGGGCTTGTTTGAAATGAAAACCACATTCTGTTATGGAAGCCCCATTACACAGGCCTGGAAGCTCCCAGAGCAGTTCACAGAGCCTGTGAGCTCATATTGTAGCTGAAGGATAGCATGGACCACATCACCCTACTCGTATGTACATGTTATTTAACAGGGGAAATGCACTTATTTGTCTTCCTGGAAAGCCAGGAATACCTCTTGGCCTCCCTGTTGGCAATGAAAGTCTCTCTACCAAGCCATTCTGGGAGATGGGAGTCCACAGCTAGGACATGGTGGCAGTCCCTGGGGTAGAATGGTGGGAGATTCTGTCCTTCTGCAACCAGAAACTCTCAGGATGCTCATCAGCAAGCGTTGGCTTTTCTTTCAGAAGATACAGTGATTGTTTTCTCTCTTACTTACTCTGGGAATCTACCATTCTGGACAGGTTTTCTCTTTCCCTAGACCAGAGTAGCTTGAAATACTATTTCTTAGCTTCTCTTACTGTATTTGGGAAAAAACAAAGGTACAGAAGTAATAAGCATGGATCTTTCTGTATCCAAAGACAGCAGTAAGATCCACTAATACTACAGAGGAAAGCTCATATTCTGTGAACCTTCTAAACTTCTGGTTATAGCAGCAGGAGCCTTGCCATTAAATGAAGGACAGGGGGAAAGGCACACAGAACCCGTTGGCCCAGTGTAGGTTGTATGTGGGATCAATCCTGGGGCTCAGGCCAGGGGGCAGCCTCCTTACCACATAGCTCTGGCAGCACAGTGAGCCAAGTTTAAGGCAGGACTGAGTGCATGCAAGCCAGGAAGTTATCGGAGATTATCAGATAGCGTTAAGAATAAGAGAAAAAAAAAAAAAAAGGAAAGCCATCCGCACTGGCATCTGAAAGCTGGACAGGAAGGGGGATCCTTACAAGAAGTTGGGTGATGAGCAAGAAAGGCCTTTGGTGACCAGAGTCTGGGGTGTGACTGTCATGGAGACAAAAGAAGGGCCACTCTACCCCATGACTTCATAGAACATGCATGCAGAGCAAGCTCTTCTAGGGAAACAACCCACAGGTTGTACGCATGTGGATAGCAGTGTCCACAGAGTGGGCCAGGTTACTGTTTAGTATTGCTAATTCAAGCAGAACGTTATAGGATATGTTTCTGAAATAAACACCTTCCTCCTCACTAGAAAAACTCGATACTTTAGAGAATAATCAGGATAAACTGTATCCCTCCCCTTACTATAACTCTGTGTGTGCAACTGTTGAGGCAACAGCTTTTATTACGCTCTGGTTCTTGGCAGGGACTATGTGATCAAAGGTACAGCTAGTGCAGGACCTCTAGGTCAACAGTTCAGCATAGTCCTATGGTGGAGAAATACACAGGATACTGAGGGAGAAATACACAGGAGGGAGCTTGGACAAGAGTAGATAGAAAGGGTCCCACTTGAATTTCTATTGAAAAATGACTAAAAGTAGGCCCATTAGGGAAATTAAGTTTGCAAAGGACACTCTCTAAGCAAAGGGAACAGCCTGGCTGTTACAAAGGTGTGGATTGAGATTGGGCAGCTGCATATTGACCTATAAGTCAGACACACCGATGAGCATCAAGGAATGATGAGACTTTACCATGGGCCAGGGCAGGGCTCAAGGATAAATATGCATTTATCAACTTACACCAGTGAGAAAATAGTTTTTATATTTTACAGTTTCTCTTTCAGATTATTTTTAAAGTTGTGGAACATCCTGCTGTCCTTCAGAATCCATAGGTGGAACCTCAAATTTATAATCGAGAGCTTTGAAAACCTAGAGCAGTTTATAGAAGATACTTAGTGAATTCATTGAATTGAATCAAACTGGCCTTAGCAACCACAATGTAGATTAATTATAAAGGCCTGGCTTTGTTTGCTATTTTTCAGGTACCATGATCAACAGGATGTTACTAGCAACTTCCTTGGAGCAATGTGGTTGATATCAATAACTTTTCTCTCCATTGGTTATGGTGACATGGTACCTAACACATACTGTGGGAAAGGAGTCTGTTTGCTTACTGGAATTATGGTAAGTGTCTTTTTACTTTCAATCTCTTTTATTTATACTCAAGAAGGCACTTAAAACTGTTGGGTCCATGTGCAGAAATCATTGTAAGCGACTCGGGTTCCCAAGCAGGAAAACCATGTAATAAATCAGTTCTGTGTTGGGAGAGGACATCAGTTTTGATCTTTTTCTTCTCATCATGCAGCTCTGTTGAGGACATAGAGTTGCTAGATTGCTCTTTGTGGGCGAAAATATCTTAGAGTTCCAGCTTCAGAGTCAGAACATTCTTTGTGTACGTCTGGGTTCTGCTATTTCCTGCTAGCTGTGTGGACTTAAGTTTCTCTTCTGAGTCTTACTTGCCTCATCTGTAAAATGTGGATCATAAGAATTGTGAAGTGTGTAAAAAGGGTTAAAGAATTACATGACATTTTATCAGTTAGATTAGATTAGATTTATTATTTTAACAAATACCTGTTGAGTGCCAGGCACTGGCCCAGATACTGAAAATACAGTGCTGTCCTTCAGAATCCATAGGTGGAACCTCAAATTTATAATCGAGAGCTTTGAAAACCTAGAGCAGTTTATAGAAGATACTTAGTGAATTCATTGAATTGAATCAAACTGGCCTTAGCAACCACAATGTAGATTAATTATAAAGGCCTGGCTTTGTTTGCTATTTTTCAGGTACCATGATCAACAGGATGTTACTAGCAACTTCCTTGGAGCAATGTGGTTGATATCAATAACTTTTCTCTCCATTGGTTATGGTGACATGGTACCTAACACATACTGTGGGAAAGGAGTCTGTTTGCTTACTGGAATTATGGTAAGTGTCTTTTTACTTTCAATCTCTTTTATTTATACTCAAGAAGGCACTTAAAACTGTTGGGTCCATGTGCAGAAATCATTGTAAGCGACTCGGGTTCCCAAGCAGGAAAACCATGTAATAAATCAGTTCTGTGTTGGGAGAGGACATCAGTTTTGATCTTTTTCTTCTCATCATGCAGCTCTGTTGAGGACATAGAGTTGCTAGATTGCTCTTTGTGGGCGAAAATATCTTAGAGTTCCAGCTTCAGAGTCAGAACATTCTTTGTGTACGTTTGGGTTCTGCTATTTCCTGCTAGCTGTGTGGACTTGAGTAAGTTTCTCTTCTGAGTCTTACTTTCCTCATCTGTAAAATGTGGATCATAAGAATCGTGAAGTGTGTCAAAAGGGTTAAAGAATTACATGACATTTTATCAGTTAGATTACATTAGATTTATTATTTTAACAACTATTTGTTGAATGCCAGGCACTGGCCCAGATACTGAAAATACAGCAAAAGAAGACAGAAACTGTTCTTGCCCTGCCTTCTTGAAACGTGTAGGGGAAGAAGCTGCACTTAAAATAATTAGCAAATAATTGTTAATCACACTTGTGACAAATATATGAGGAAGTAAAGCTTCTGATCTGATTTGGGAACTGAGGGATGAGATCTGCTCAGAGAAATAGATCTCCATGAAGTTGACTTTTAACTTTTCACTGAGGTGGGAAAGCGGGGTAGCCAGGCAAAGCGGGAAGAAGGAAGGGCATTCTGGAAGAGGAAATGGTTTGAAGATAATGAGGCAAGGAGAAGCGCGGTACATTTGAGCAAGTTTACTAGGCCAGGAGTGTGCACAGTAAAGTGGGAAAACATCATGGCATGAGGCTGGGGACAGGTCTTGTAGGAGCACTTGAGAAAGGTGTGCTGCCTGGAGTGACCTGCCACTGTTCATCAGGGAGGCCTGCAGGCTGATACCTTCCTTGCCCCTTCCACGTGTACTATTTGTGTTAGATATATGAAAATTGTAGGCCAACACGCCATCTAAAATTTATTAATGTTGTATGAACTTTTAAATGTTTAAGCCAGAGGTAGTTTCAAATTGTTGCACCATTTTGAGTGACTTAGAGTCTCCTTATCTGCTTTTGATTATAGCGAAGAGTGTTATCTTGATATTTGTTTGGTTTCTGCCTACACAAGGAAGTGAACTGCTAAGGCAGGAAATTCCCAGAATTTCTGAAGCTAGGCATTCCTGCCCAAGGAGAGGCAGGCTTCCCACATGATGGCTTTTGAATGGTGGCCAGGGCAGCATGTACCCTCCCAGCAGCTGCCCAAGAGTCAGAACTAGCTAGGAGGACTGAGTCTGTGGCATGGAGAGGTGGGAACAATCTTCTCCCACTTGGTAGTATTGAACTGAGAAAAGGCAGCTTGCAGTGAAAATAAAATCCAGTTCCAATGGTAAGGTCACACGTAGTAACAAGATGACCATTCCAAGTCCCAATTGTGGAAAATATGATTTTGGGTCATAATTTAACTGTAAAATAAAATTACAGTTTTGTGAATTTTAGAGAACTTTTATTTCATTACAATTGTTATGGTCCATTGTGTTTACTATTGGACTATTTCCTGAAAAGATAGCATTTTATTATATAGTATAATGCTTTGGAAAACAAAATTTGCATGGATGTATTTTTCGAGGGTCCATAACAAGCCCACAAGGGATAAGAATAATGCTACTTATAAAAAAAAATAGAACCAATAATTGCAGTATTTCCCCCCATGCTTTTTAGAAACAACTTTCTTGGTGTTCTTTTTTGGCAAGATGTCCCTCACTTTATTTTTGAATTAGGTATGAGTCAGGATTTGTGCAAACAGCCTCATTTGCCATGGGATCAGAGCCAAATTTAAAGTTAACTTTGCCAGGATCTTGTGGTACTTTTATCTTTTCTCTCTTTCTTTGTCCTTAATGTCTCAAGAACAGTTCCTTCAAAATTTCATCTGACAGCACAAATCTTTTATTTAGGTGCTTGAACTACTTCCTTACTTAGGTTTTACTAGTAGTCTTACTTAGTTTTGAAAATAGAAGTTATAAGCAAAAGCAATCTTAATCGATACGGGCAGAAAATGTTATGTGCAGTTAAATTTACAGTGATGTGGTCCTGTCTTCTAAGCTCATGGTGAAACAGTCTTACAGTCCTCGGGCTAAGGAGCTCATTCCATCCCCATCATAAAGAATAGACTTTTTCTTAATTGACCCATCAAAGATCATTTGCTTGTTTTTAGAGAAATGCTGTAATCTTTGACTAGCCTATTTGAAATACTGTGTAGAGTTGGATTGTCTTTATCCCTGAGCCAAGACATGGAGACAAGTAGTCTTCTGGGAGTTGACTATATCCCATATAACTTCCTGGGGAGCAAGAGCTTACAAATGGAGGTTACCTAGAAACTAGTATGGAGAGTATTGGCTGACAGTATAGATTTCTAAAAAAATAATTTTTTTCATAGTTCATATAAAAGGTTAGTTTCCTTTAGATGAAATGCATTTCTGTTTTGTCAGGCAAATGTTGTTTTCTGGAACTTTAAATACCAGTTTGTCACTTTTGTGTTATCTAAGCCAGATAGGACTTGTTTTTATTTCGAGCGTTTTTTTGCCTATTCCCCCTTGGACTTTTGCAATGCATGTTTAGGTAAAATGTGTATAGGCAGATTTCCCATGAGTCATCTCTCTGTCTGTGTCTCTCTCCCTCCTTGTGCCCTTTAGTTTAGTAAATTGTAAAAAAGAAATACAATTTACAACACTCCTGAGAGAGGCCAGGGTAATTCCTGAATCATGTATATTTTTTCTGAAGTGCTGTGTGTCTTTGTGCTTTTACATTTAGATTTTCTTATCCTCTCATTTATGAAATTTTGATAGAATTTATACCTTTTTTTCACTTTGGAGTAAAATACAATTGATCTAAATGCTAATACCTACAGAGCTTTCCCATTTCAAAAATGTATAAGTAAAGAAATTAGCTTTGCTTCTTTTCTTCATATAGCTAATAAAAGTAATGAATTATTTCTTAGCATTATCGTAGATGTTCATATTTCATTAGTAAAACTCAAAATTAAATTGTAATTTAAAAGTTTTAAAGCTTAACTTGTGCCATGAGCTATATTCTGTGGAGCCAAGGACATTAATATTAACATGCAGTGCTCTGAGCAAAAATGTATTGTTAAACCATGAGGAGATTTCCAGAATATTTCTAAAAAAGAAACAAATGGCCTTATCAAAAATAACCTCTTCTCACCTGAAATGTAAATTGTGAATCCAAGACCATTGTAAATCCAAGATCATCATGCTAAGCTTTTCTTATAATTTTTTAGGTTGTGTTTATAATTTTATACATAGATGATAATGGAAATACTAAGATAAGTGTATCTTAGATACTGAAATGCTTTCACAGAAATTCCATTGTGATAGATAAAACAAGGCAAGAATAAACGTTCCTTTTACCAAGACCTACCTACTATTAGAACTTAAGAGACAAAGATCTCTTCCTCCCTCCTGGATATCCTGGATTTAAAATAGACCAATGCCTAATAGACCAAGTCTCTCATTAACCTTCAAGAGAAAGACACGAAGGTTGTATATACCTGTTTTTTCTATCCTTCCTCTCTTTAAGAAGGTACCAAGGACATGAAGATTTATTATTGTGAATGTCATGATAACCTATGATAGGCTCAATTTTAAGTGGCTTTTATACTTTTTGTTTAAGGTAGTAGGCAACTGACATTGTTCCAGCATGGTGTCTTAGCTTTCTGTGACCAGCAGGTAGTTTCTCAGTATCTCCAACTTTATAACAGAGAAAGTAATTGTTTTGCTTAACGCTTAAAAAGTTATCCTATCTACCATTTTTTTATGTTTGTACATAGATATAATACATGCTGAAAGTTTTAGCTTTTTATCTATGAATATACAGGGTGGGGCAAAAGTTTACAGCTGTGAGTATACAAAACAGAGTTTATTCTTATATTAATTATTGCATTATTTTCCACACAAACAACTGTAAACCTACTTTGGCCCCCAACTTGTTTGTGATGTTTCAAGAGTAGGATATAGCCTCATTGGTAAAATTTTTTTATTCTCCTTCTGTAAAATTATAACAGCTCTTACCATATAGGCATGGATGATGGAATTCTTTAGCATAATTATCTTTAAATATAGAGTAATATCTGCCCATTT